CCAAGATAATTTTATTTAGTGGTGCAGAGTAGTGGAGAGTCTGGCCACCCATGATTTGGGAGAAGGAATTAAGGCCAGAGCCATCCTTCCAGGTACATCAGAGTACTGGCTAAGGGGTGGGTGGGGGGGGGGGGGTTGGACACGAGTAATATTGAAAAATATCGAAGATTAAATCCCCCTGCATTCAATGGAGGTTCCGACTCACTGGTTGTAGAAGATTGGATCAAAAAAACCGAGAAGTTATTTGATGTAATAGAGATAACAACTGAACAAAAAGTACAGCTAGCCACTTTCATGTTAAGAGGATCTGTGGAATGTTGGTGGAGTCTGAAAAGAGGGGCTCTAATCCCTCTAGTGACTTAGGAAGTATTCCAAGAGGCATTCATTAATAAGTACTTCCCTGATTTTCTTAGATAAAGGAAAAAAACTGAATTTGCAGAGCAATGCCAAGGGAAGTTGTCAGTGGCAGAGTATGCCGAGAAGTATATAGAATTGGGTCGTTTTGCTCCAAAAGTTATATTGCATGAATTGAAGAAGGCTAGAATATTTAAGAAAGGACTAAGACCAGAGTTGTATCACCAAGTAGCAGTGTTTGCCCTACCTACTTATCAGGCGGTACTAGAGAAAACACAGTTGGTATAAACTCTATATAGGGAACATATGGACTATGGTGGAGGACCCCCCAGTTATAAGCGAATACCACCACCCTTCGTCCAAATAGAGAAGAGGCAGAGGATAGTACATGATCTAACCCCCAGGACATCAGCTTTAGCCAAAGAATGTCGAGTATACGCATTGTGGTCAGAGTCATAGGGATAAACCATGCCCGAATTCTGGGCGTAGATGTTATAGATGTGGCAGTACTTGGCATTTAATACGGGACTGTCCCGCACCCAGGTAGACTAACAGAGTAATGGTTCTAGGTAGAGTGTTCGCCTTGACAGCACATAATGCGGAGGCCACTCTAGAGGTTATTCAAGGAGGGGAGAGAAGTAAGAGTGGACTTAATCTTATTAGATATTAGGGATTTTGATGTAATATTGAGATAAATTGGTTAGCTACACAGCATGCCCATGTGGATTGCTTTCGTAAGATAGTTACTTTAGAGATTGGTTGAGTTCTGGGTTGTAATTTTATAGTAAATTCAACTTCTCTATCCGCCGGTAACCCCAAAAGTTACTGACATCCTACTCGCAACCCTCTTGTGCATCAGGCTCTGGATCCTGATCCTCTTGATCTGAAATAGTTAAATAAAAAATAAACTACACTATCCCAGTAAGAATATCACACTACTCACTGACACATAAATTAAGTTTGGTAGAAAAATCAAAACAACTAATATAGTTCTTAATTAAACGAACTCATTTATTATAAATAAAATCTTTTACCATTTACTTACCATAGTGAGATTTACAAAACAACTTACAGAGACAATAACATAACACAGATCATGATTTCATATGTAATCGATTTGAATAACAATCTTATTCTTTATCAGCCTACTGGTATCCATTGAGGTTTATAAGGATGTCCCCACAATGCATGAACGATTAAGAGAGATGGGTGTGGTCATTTAATAATTATCAAAAGAAGAAAACAGAATGATAGATGTAGAGAAATGATAGTAGGGAGGGAGATCATTTAATTGTTATTCGTTAGTTTTTAGTTCTAATTTCATCTTATTAGGTTATGTATACTTATTACTTCCATTTTAAATGTGTTGATGCAAGAGCCAAAAATGGAAAGCTTAGCAACGGAGCAACGGACTTAAAAGTATCAAGATGTTATCAATCGTAATGAGACATAGTATTACACTCACAGTATTGAAACAGTATTTGAACTTCTATGTGTATGGTGGTTGTTGGAGAGTTTTGTTTTTATTATAGAATTTATCATTATATTAGGAATTGATTTCTTTATAAAGTAATGAATATGTAATTTGATTGAGGATTATAAATATCGGAGTAGAAGGGTGAATAGTATATAATCCTATAGTAGAAACTGTACATGCATGTTACGAAATCTAAATTAATTTTTTATAATTCCATATGTTGAACTTGATGAGTAATGAGGAATAAAATCAAAGGTGCAGAATATGTAGAATATAAATAAAGTAACTTATAAATAA